TTGAGGAAGGTTGAGTGTGATCATCATCCTCCTCAGCTTCCTGAGCACAGCCACCATCTTCCTCCCTTGAGTGTGATCATCATCCTCCTCAGCTTCCTGAGCAGGAAAGCCACCAGCTTCCTCAAAGGTTGAGTATGATCATCATTCTCCTCAGCTTCCCGAGCACAGCCACCATCTTCCTCCCTTGAGTGTGATCATCATCCTCCTCAGCCTGCTGAGGAAGGTTGAGTGTGATCATCATCCTCCTCAGCTTCCTGAGCAGGAAAGCCACCAGCTTCCTCAAAGGTTGAGTGTGATCATCATCCTCCTCAGCTTCCTGAGCAGCAAAGCCACCAGCTTCCTCCAAGGTTGAGTATGATCATCATCCTCCTCAGCTTCCTGAACGCAGCCACCATCTTCCTCCTTGAGTGTGATCATCATCCTCCTCAGCTTCCTGAGCAGGAAAGCCACCAGCTTCCTCAAAGGTTGAGTATGATCATCATTCTCCTCAGCTGCTTCCTGAGCACAGCCACCATCTTCCTCCTTGAGTGTGATCATCATCCTCCTCAGCTTCCTGAGCAGGAAAGCCACCAGCTTCCTCAAAGGTTGAGTGTGATCATCCTCCTCCTCAGCCTGTTGAGGCAGACAGGACGTCACGCTGCCTCAAAGACACGCCAAACCCAGCATCCCAGCATTCTTTTTGCAAAAGGGGCTGCCTCCCTCGAAATTTTCGCCCGAGGCAACCCTCCTTTCGCACGACCAGCAAAGCGTGCAAAATATCATTATTAGACTACCCCCGCGAAAAAAATCTCTAAAAGGTGAGGTGGCAGATCACCTGCACAGGTCATTTTGTGCAGTTCAAGAAGGAGCATAATTTCTAAATTCATCAGGGACCGATTCATTCGCTTGCCATGCTATATCCTCGGGTAATGGCGCATCGCCATTTTCGGCTGGGGCCTTGTCGCTTTTTTCTGCCAACATCGGCTCCAAATTATCCACCAGTTCCAAAGCATCCCTCTCAGGACAATTCTTTTTAGTGTGGTCAGTGACGAATCTGAAGCAGCAATGGCAATAATGCCCCTTTTTTTCCTTTCCGTTTCCCTGGGCCTTCTTCGTCCTCTCTTTTCTTTTGACGCTTGGGCGCCCGGCACGGGGCCTGTAGGCGGGGGGCATGCAGAGTTTGGTATCTTTCAAGTCTATATGGCGTTTCACATCATGCATGTTCGGAATACGTAGAGATTCGACGACAAGGGTTCCGTCTGCCTCTTTCGTACAGTACACGTCTTTCCATGCCCGCGTTGTGTACTTTCTATCTGTCAAATTATAGAGATATTGCCCATTTTTTTTGGTCGCGACATAAGCATGCCTACATGGGATTCCTTTTTCTGTTCCAAACGAGCAGTCGCAGGCCATGCCTGGATTCCTGTGTTTCAAACGATCGAAGACCACATGGGCATCACCGAAAGTTGCGTCTTTCACTGTCGCACCCACCACTTTACCATTCGCATACGTGAATGTCACATGCCTCTCTTGTATGTGTGCTGCTGCCATTTCCTCCTCCCTGATTAGCCTTGCTACTTTCGGTGGGAATGGCTGTTCCCATCCATGCGCTTCTTTGCTCCTGCGCTCGTGGTGCTCCTGGATTGATCGTGCCGCCTGCAATAGGCTGAATGCAAAATGGCATGAACGAAACGGCATATCCCTATGGTTTGCACTTTCCACACATGACGATG